ATTCAATGATTTGGAAAAAAGACTCAGTTTGTTCATGAGCCTCATTTTTGTGTCGACTTGAATCTAAATCAGTATTTTCACTTTTGATTAATTATCTCGGCACAAATGGAACTCAAATGTTTTCACGTCTCACTAACACTTGTCATTCGTATGTTCCGCCTGTGGAGCTGAGTCTGACCCAAACTTTTTTATCCTCCAGTTCAAGTGAACGTTTTCAGCTTTAAGGTCAAATGATCTGTTACGAAGCTTCAGGTCGAATTTATCCTCAGTGAAAAGGTCCTGTCCTGAAAAGATCAAAGATGTGAAACACATGAAGTTCAAGTACATGAAGTTCAAGTACATGAAGTTCAAGTACATGAAGTTCAAGTACATGTGTGTTTCATGAGTTTTCTACATTATTCAGATCTTGATTTCTGTCTGACACTAACATACATGATAATCTGCAGCTGCGTCATGTGTTCGTATGTGGCTGAGCATCGATCGAATCCATTTGTGTGGATGTTTTTTTCCCAGAATCCTCCAGACTGGCAGGAGATCTTGACGTACTTCAGAGGATCCGAGCTTCAGAACTACTTCACCAAAATCCTGGAGGACGACCTGCGGGCCATCGTCAAGCCGCAGTACGTCGACCAGATCCCGAAGACCGTCAAGGTAACGAGGAACTTCAGTGGGGGGGGGGTCAGACCAGTAAGGGGTGGGTGTAATTTTTCATCTCTACCTCCAGGGGTCAGTAGGAGCCATCCTGAGCAGGAAAGACGACACAGACACACAAACCATCGTCTGTGCTCAGCTCGGTAACACACACACACACACACACACACACACACACACACACTCTCAAATGATTGAATATCTGTGTGTTAATAATATTAATGTCTTCTTCAAACTTTATAACCACAACAGTGGCTGAGCAGAAAGTTTAACTCGACACATCCAAAAAAAAATGTCCAAAGCAAAGTGTTTGTGATAAAGACGTTTGAGAAGGTACATGAAGAGTCGAAGGATTCTACCTCGAGGACGTGAGGTCAAAGACTTTTCCTCCTGCTCCGTCCTGTGTTCACACGGCAACACAAAGACGTCATGTCAGTCATGGCTCACGTGTGATTTAATGTGTTTACATTAACTGACTTGTTGCCGGGCAGATCTGAGTCACCTGCGGGAGAGGAACGTGGAGGATCTGTCCGGAGGTGAGCTGCAGAGGTTCGCCTGCGCAGTCGTCTGCATCCAGAGGGCCGACATGTGAGGAAACCACACACACACACACACACA